TTCACCTGGATGCTTTACACAACCATTCTCAACTACATCCCATAAATCTTGAACTTGAAACATTAACTTCATTTCAACACTCCAATGCTCATAGAAATCTCCTTTAAAAATCGGAGTTGATGGTTGAGAAATATTTGAGTTGCTATTGTTTGCCATATAGAAAAATGCACGAAAATAAAGAAATTTGTGTCACCTTCCTTTGAGTTTTGTCTCTATCCTCCTCTCCAAGTAATAAATCTCCACCAATGCCAATCTCTTAGGCAACTTGGCTCTCCAATGCCTATCTTTGGCAACCTCGCTTTGATACCACTGTTGATTTTTAAAAACACGTACTCACATACTCATGGAGAGATAAACACAAAACTCAACTCTGTTGATTTTTAAAAAACACGTACTCACGTACTCATGGACAGAGAAACACAAAACTCAACGTTACTCAAGTTTTTCCACACACAACATTTCAATTCATATAACCCATATATATAAGCGTTTACAACAAAACTACCCACTACCTACGTGTTGGATAACTACCCATTACCTACGTGAAGAGAGAGCGGGCCTCCACTGTTTCTTCTAAATCTGCCTCTTCCTCCACTTCCTCTACCCACATCTTACTCTGGGCAGATGAGGCCCTAGGAGCCTTGTCTGCTCTACGAGGTGCCTCTTCACCCTTTTCTTGCTTTTTGTACTTCACTAAACTCAAATACTATTTAATCCCCTCCCTGGTAGCCTCAGGAACATTTTTACACAGGGCAACATCCTCCTTAATATCGGCAATGTGTTTCTTGAACCGGTAAAATACTCCCATTAGTATCTGTTCTACAATAATTACACCTAATACAATTTTGTCATTCGGATTCGCGTTATGACCATAGTTCTAATGTGGATCACCACTTCTAGAAGAACCTAGAGAAGATATTTTTATATAACAAGTCTTATTTTCTTTCTTTTCTGATTGTATTAAATTCAAATATTGTCTAATCTCACCCCTAATAGCTTCAAGAGCCTTTTTACAAGAAGCAACATTCCCTTTAAGTAGGCTAGGTGCTTCTTGAATCGGTTAATACCCCCATTAGGATCTTTTCACAAAAATTACACCTTATACAATTTTTATCATTTGGTTTGGGGTTATAACCATACTTCCAATCCAGATCACCTTTTCTGACAAAACTAGAAATAGACCTATCCAAATGACAATGACTTTGTTCTTGTTTGTGTTTTATTGAAGTCATATATTGCTTAATCTCCTATTCGATAGCTTCAGGAACATTTTTACATGGGGCAGCATTCCCCCTAGTACCGGCAAAATGTTTCTTAAACCGGTTTATGCCTCCTTTTGTATTCTTTTCACAATAATTGCATCTTATGCAATTTTTATCCAAAGGATTCGGGTTATAGCCATATTTTCAACCCGTATCACCACTTTGACTAGATCCTGAGGAAAACATCTCACAATAATACTAGCAATCTAGAAACTAATTTTGCACTTATTTTGATTGCTGGATCTCCAAACTTCCACCCCTAGGATGTTTTCACAATAACTACAATAACTATAAAAAAAATAGTGAAAATTACAAAACACCCCCCAAAATGCACTATCTATGCAACTTACCGCCATCCAAACCTTTTCGCTCACTTTTTTCCCCACAATAAACTTTCTATGCAAAAACCCCCCCAAAGTAAAAAGTTCCTTTTTTTAAACAGAAATGCCCTTCCCATACAAAATAATCGATTTGACGAGATTTGACGTCTCACAAGTTCTACTGCCGGAGCGCCCTTTGCCAATGCCGGAGCACCCTTTGCTACTGCAGGAGCGCCCTTTGCTACTGTCGGAGCACTGTGTCTCACAAGTTTTACTGCCGGAACGCCCTTTGCTACTGTCGGAGCGTTGTGTCTCACAAGTTCTATTGTCGGATCGCCTTTTGCAACTGTCGGAGCACCCTTTGCAGCTGCTGAAGCGCCCTTTGCAACTGTCGGAGCACCCTTTGCTACCACCGGAGCGTTGTGTCTCACAGGTTCTACTGCCGGAGAGAGGCGTGTGCAATAGTGTTAAGGGTAGTTTAGTCTTTTTTTTTTATTTTTTTTGGATTGGGGGGATTATTTGCATAGAAAGTTTGTTGTAGAGAAAAAACTGAGAGAAAAGGTTAGGTTGGGCGTAAGTTGCATAGATAGTGTAGTCTTGGGGGTTTTTTGTAATTTTCCCAAAAAATTAAATGACTACAATAATTTAGGATGTTTTCACAATAACTACAAAAAATCTAGGATGTTTTCACAATAACTACAAAAAATCTAGGATGTTTTCACAATAACTTTGCACTTATTTTGATTGCTCGATATCCAAACTTCCACCTCTAGGACTTTTTCTAATGCTTAAATATTCAAAAACACCTTCTAATAAGCCTACAAAAAACTCCAAATGCAAATCTAATCTCAATGGGTGACGTTGGGTGATGTTTGGATCTATTTCTTGTAACTTTGATAAACCCTTCAATCTTATGAAAATCACAAAATCTAGTTTTTTGAAGTTTTACTCTCTCTAATATGGGCTCTAATGGGTTTAAATTTCAAATGAACCTAAAACCCACCTTTCAACCTTTAAAAAAAAAAAAAATGCTCCTCAACAAAGGTCATTTCCACCCCTACTGCCTAGGTGGCCGACTTTTTCATCACTGACAGCATCCAATGGAACCTGAGCAACCTAAATCTAGAATGACACCTAAAAAGGATGAGGTAGATCAAACTAACCTAACTGCCCTAATGTCTCCCTAAATCAAGAATTGTTTCCCATGCACCAATAATGGTATTCCGCTACAGCGAATATCACCAGTGATGAAATCTAAGACATCCCAATAGCCCAAAAAGTACCATCTTGATGAGTCTCCCATCGCATCTCTTCACATCAGCACCATATTTATTAAACAAGTTCGAAGCCCAAAACTAAGACAAGTTTGGCTTGAGCATGTTTACTACATTAAAATTATCTCTCTGTTTATCTACACACACACACGCACACACATGTTTATGTGTGTGTGTCTTAGATATTATATTTAATAAAATCATTTAATATAACACGTTATAACAAAAAACAAAAATACTCATATCACATTTATGGCTCTGCTCATTTATGGGTCTATTTAAGTAAAAGAGTCAGGCCAAGTCAAGCTCAAGCTGGCCCTCCATCCAAGACATGCTGGAACATGTCAAGCTCGGCTCAGCTCTGCTTGGTGTCCCCTACCAGTGCATTGGTAGTATGACCAACTAGTCACATTGATAGAACAAGTACATAAATAAATCTGCCCATGTGGCACTATAGCTAACATCTAAATGCAAATTAAAATTAACATAAATTCTCATAAAGTGCAAAACCATATGCCTTAAACTGCATGTATTTAGGACCTAATTAATCTCTGTCCCAAACAGCAGCTAACATCTAAATACCAATAAAATTAGCATAATATTCTTATAAAATGCAAAAACATATGCCTTAAACTACATGCATTTAGGACCTAATAAATCTTTGTCCCAAACAGCAGAAGGTGTAATCACTTGAACTACATGCAAGCATACATATGCTATGCAACACAGATGGAATGCCAATATCAGGTGAAACAAAGTTTTAAGTATGATGATCAAAGCAAAGAGAAAAGGGCTAAACTGACCTAATTTATTTCTGATAACAAAGTTCAAGGATCAAGTCATTGATCTCTCAAACAAATGGGACATTTACTACACTGGTCCACAACCTATGGAGCAATAACACTATTAAATGGGCATATCAGTTGTGTCTCCAACAAACATAAAAGGAAAAAGAAAAAAAAAAACCTAGTGGTTCTCCACTCTCCAATAGTAATACCACATTGTTGTACCTCCTTGGAAAGATTATGAAGTACAGCTTATGGTTAAGAAAGAAGATAAATGAAAATGATATATAGAGCTTCAATCATTTGACACAACCCAGGGCTAGACCAAAGTGGAATCCGTAGGATCAGTGTTTGTAATTAGAAAAATATAGAGATAGTGATTAAATATCCTCCCCTCAAAAAAATAGATAACTATCAAGTGTCCTGAAGAAAAAGAATGGAATTTTGCAACCAAATTTGGCATATCTGACAATGCAGTTTAGAAAGACTAAATATATTTCATAAATTCTCCAATAACATAACTAGAATGGCACAAGGTAAGAATTAAAAAGAAACAAATATATGAGTGAATCAGGTCTAGGACTTTCAGTAATGTGTATTGGAATAGACAGCTACAACAAGTTTGAAATTTCCAGATAATTCACCACATGCTTAGGCTCCAAAAAAAAACTGAGAATTCTTAACATCAAACTAATGATCTGAGTCTGAAAAATAAAGATGAAAAGACCAGACAACACACCAACAAATTTAGAAAAACGCATATAACACATCCACTATGAAGTCTTACAAGACAGTCATGATCAAAATTTACCGGATAAAAAAATATGAGGACAAAGACAAATCATCAATTAGAAAAATGAATGAGAAAAAAAAATTTAAGAAACATTTGCATGAACGTGCAAAGAAAGCAAGTCTTCGACTTTCCCCTTCAAAAGTAAGTTTCACCACAAATTCTGCTTCAAATTTAAACTATTGATAAATCAACATAATATAGAAATAACCCAAGACCAGAAGGAGGCAATGAGCAATCTACCAGTTGTTTCTATGTAAAGTTTCATTGCAAATTCTCTTTCTAAATTATCCCACATATCAAGATTCATAAGCTCATGACCATAAGACCCATTGGAGAAAAACCCGATAACTCTTTTTTCATTTATCCGAAGTTTCCTCAAATTTTTCCTTCTCGACACAAATTACGTTTCTCAAATCTAAACCACTTCATACATCAAAATTCAAAACACCCACAATTGAAATCCCCAAAGGCGAAAAACCCAGCATCCTATTCCAGGTACTAAAGATCAAGATTCTAGTGAGAGAAATTATTCCATATTTGATCACTTCAACTGAGAAAAGACTTACTTGTAAGACGCCATAGATGACCAGAGTACTCATGATCCCTGCAACAGAGAAAACCCATTTCCAGATACTTTGTTTCGTCACAAGAGTTTTTAGAAGAGGCAGCGGCCATGGCCAACCCAACTCAAGCCGAACTGCGAATTCAGGCCATTTTTATGCAAAAGAAAAGAAAGGTAGACTCTAATTTGATTGTTTAGAGCCTAGGCTCTACACAAACGGCACCCATTTTTAAAGGAACATACTATTCGCATCCAGATTTTAGCTACTTCCACCCTTAACTTTAATACTTCAACCTTTAAACCAGGTGGTGTTATCATAAATCTGATTGAAAAGGTTGTCACCTGTGTCTTGGGTGGCAATAGCAATAACATGCATAAAAATAACAAATTTCCATTTAGAAACCGCCCCGATATTTACTTGATGACTGAATTTCCCCGTCTTGAGGAAGACGACCTTCGTGCATGCGTTCCCATGAGCTCTCTAAAAACGTGCCGAAATTATGTCCCGAAATTTCGTGATAAATTTCGACTTCTAACTCGATTTGGTTTTCGAAGGAATTCTTGCAAAAGCCTTTGGAATGAATGATATTCGAAGGTTGTGAAAGAAAAAGCCCATTCCACAAAAAAAAAAATTTTGGCATTCTTTTTGTAACTCCTTTCCCTAATGCATCTTCTCTATAATTTTATATGCCGCTCCCTCACGATTTCAGGTAAAATGGATTTACAAATTCCTAACAATGCTCTTTGTTCATTATTGAGATATTATTCTCTCAAGTGCGCACGGGGTGCAATTAGGAAATCTTTATCATTGATGTTAATCCTATCTTCAAATTATGAGATCCCAAAATTAATGTTAGGTGGGGTTTTACCTGGGAGAGTACATGAATAGTATGTACTCCTAAGTGAGTATAATATATTTTGGCTATACGAGGGGTCGGTATTTGTGTATTTGCTTTGGCTTGAAAAGTTTGCTAGAAGTTAAAACCAAGGTTTAAAAGAAAGGAAAAATTACAAAACACCTCAAAATTCAGACTTCCTAATAACTTCCCCCCACCAAAGTTTTTTTTTTCTTTTTTTTTTTTGGCAATTTTTACCTTAAATTTAACTTTTCTAGCAAATACTTCAAAGTCAAAAAGTCATATTTTTTGACGAAAATACTCATACCCATACAACCAAATATTAACGTAGAAAGAATGCGGTCCAGCACAAATTTAGGGCAGTCTGGCACTTTGAGCTGTTGGAAAGCATGGATATGGGCAATCTGGCACTTTGGGCTCATGGAAAACGTAGGTCCGGCAAAAAATAAGAGCGGTCTGACACTTTGGGCTTCTAGAAAGCATGTGGTCCGACGTAAAATAGGGGCAGTCTGGCACTTTGGGCTTCTGGAAAGCATGTGTCCGGCATAAAATAAGGCGGTCTGCCACTTTGGGCTCCTGGGAAGCATGCAGTTCGACACAAAATAACGGTGTTTCGACTCTTTGGCTCTGGGTTCTTAAGGGGTCCGACAGTTGTTGCATTGGGTCCGACACTTTGGTAGCAAGCGACTCCACGTCAATGTTTAGCTATATGGGTATGGACATTTTTGTAAAAAAATGACTTTTTGACTTGGGGGTATTTGCTAGGAAAGTTAAATTTGAGGTAAAAGTTACTAAAAGAAACTTGATTGGGGGAGTCTGTCTAACTCGAGAAAAGTTTCATGTTATTATGGTCTAATGGCGATTGTCAAGGTTAGCTCAGATGCCTTAGGCATGTTTGACAACGTGAGCATGGAAAATTTATCGGATTTGGAGATCTTGACTCACGATCACTTATGTTCTAAAGACCTACAGCAAGAGAATACCGTATTTGAAAGCCACTAATTATTTTGAAAACTATTAGGTGCTTGTATTTCTCACTGATCTACGCGAAAAAAAAAAAAACTTATGTGATAACTTGTCATGGTGAGAGTGGTTATTGGGAAAGGGGATATTGATGTAATTAAGACTTTTAATTTTTATTAAAATTTAAATTTGGGGCTATATTAGGTTTTTAATCTTCTGTAGTAGTATTTATGTCTTCTTGTTCTTCTTCTTTTAGATACTTGATGAGTAGAATTGAAATTTTATTTTTTAAAGATGAAGGGTTAAGATTTTATTAGGTTTCTTTTCTTTTATAAGTATGTGCCCTATTTGACAAGAAAAAAAGGGAGTAAAGTGAATAAATTTTTTTGTTGGGATTGTATAATGTACGACCATTTATGTTTGTTACAAGGAGGCCACACATACTCATAGCCATTAAATGTCAAATTAGATGGCTTGGCATATGTCACCAAGTTCAACAAGTTTTTTTTTTAATTTTGAGTCTTATCAATGACGCTCTTGCAACTACCCAATATGAATTTTGACGGACAAGAGTGATTGCAACCTCCTTGTAACAAAAGTAAACTGTCAGTTGTTATACTTTTTTATTTTTTTGGATCTTATGAAGAAGTCATTTTGAATTAGATTTTCCGGCGGATCCTACAAGAGGGCATATTCTCTCATTATTTATTCTTATATTTTATTTTTTTGATTTGTTATATTTCCTTCCCCTCCTTCTATGCATCAGGTGGCACTAGAGCCTAGAGATCCATATACTATGGTGCTCTCACAATCATCTATCGATTCAGTTATAGGGTGTGTGGATAATGCATCAGAGCCTAAAGATCCATATAGCATGATACTATCACAATCCGCTAATGATCTAGTTATAGAGTGTGTGAATAATGTGATAGATTGTATTAGCAAACTAATAGAACAGTTTCTACGTGATCTTGATAGTTCTTTACAACATGGGAAATAAGAAAATGAAGAGGCAAGCCTTACTGCGAAGATGTTTACAACAAGCCAAATGTGCTACAAATTTTGACAATCAGTTATGAATGTCAACACTAGCCGTAATATATGAAATACAAACATTTGAGTTCAAGATCCCCAAGCTCTACTACAAGTTGTAAACAAAATGTTTGAAAATTTTGTTTGTTAAAGACAACATACCAAGGGGATTGGTGAGACTTCATCACCAATTATTCGAAATGAGTCTAAAGGATATGATGGCTTGAGGTCGAGCTTCTCCCAAGCTCAGGAGAAAGTTGAAATGATAGTTTTTTTTTTAAAAACTCAAATTTAGGTTTAGGTTAAAATCTTCTTTAGGAGTGTTTAAATTTATTTTGTTGTTGTACATAATTGAGATGCTAAATTGAAATTTTATAAAAATGAAGAGTTAGGATTTGATTAGGGTTTCTTCTAGAATAAATTATGTCTTTAGGTTCTATTTTTTCTTCTATAAATATGAAATTATGTTTACACTCGCATCCGCGTCAATCTCTGGGATGAGATCTGCTTAAATCTTAGTAAAACTTCAATAAAATTTGTAAAAGATAGAGAGAGTGGGGTCGCTCAAATTATAGGCCCAAAATGGTATAGATCTATTCAGATTTGATCATTTCTTGGGTCCACTGGAAGCGTCAGCTTCCAAATCTATGAATTTTACATTAAAAACTCTTTAAAAACTTTATAAACCAAGAAATAACAGAAAATATATAAAATAAAACTAAATTAGATGAGAAAATTAACTAAAATTGAGAAAAAAAATGGGACATACCTCTGGGGACCCGGAATCCGGAGTTTCATGCTTAGATCAAACCACTCTTATGATTTACATTACCATCTCCTTTTAGATGCCTATAGTTGCTGGATTCAATAGATCTAAGGTATTTTTACTTAGATCTAGGATTCATGAGGCAGAGGAAAAGCTAGGGAATTTTTTGTAGTATCTGCCTAGGTTTTTCTGAGGATTTAGAAGGGTTTTTCCTTAGTTTTCTAAGGTTTTTGGTGGCTCCTAAGCTTAAATTTGAACTTTTTTGATTTACTGGAATTTTTAGAGATCTTTTAGGATCTTTCCTAAAACGTTTTTGGATTTTTTAAGGGGTTTCCCTATTTTTAGGTATTGTTTGGGCTATTTTTCAAATTTGGGATTTTCTAAGGATTTATTGATCTCACTTTTTGGTTCTAGAGGACGGGTATTTATAAGACTCAATTGGTGATTTTTCTTGATTTTTTTGATTTTATTTTTTATTTTTTCGAGTTTATCTTAAATTTTTAACTTTATCATAAAAAAGCATGTTTTTACTGCATCATCGGGTCTTACTGGGCCCATGACCGGCTTTGAGGGCCTGCCCAATGCGCCTCGTGTTGGGCGGGTCACCCTGGCCATTAAGCAAGACCCTATTGGTCATTTTCTGGATCTTTTTATTTGTAGATCTGATTCAAGCGATTCTTAGACCGTTAGAAAGCTCTTGGGGTCTACTTTGACTTGGTATAGGATTTAGGCAGTTTCGAGACAATTATATTGAGTCTATGTTGTCTATGGTCTACTATGATTTTTGTGGTCCTTCTAGCTCATAATCAAGGTTTTTAGGAGTTCCCGTAGCCATAATTTTGAAGGGGGTGTCTACAAACTATTAGACTAGAAAAAGGGAGTGAAAAGAGCTTCCTCTATAAACACAATTTATCTTTGTCTCTCTCTAAACGGCTAGTAACAAGGGTTCCTAATCCAAAAATCAAGGCTCTGCAATCACCAGCCTCACGACACCCTTTCTCTGATCTCGGGTTTAGCCTCACACGCTCTATCAATTTTCACTAACATTAGCATCAGAGCATCTAAGGTTTATCTTCCAT